TTTAATGTTAAGGGAAATATTATTTCTGCAAATATGTGAATCAACTTATAAGAATGTATCAAAGAATACAAGTTAATCATTATATTAAAAAATATGTAAAAGTATGTGATTATAGTTAATTACACAAACTAAGTTGTATTTGTTTTTAATTTTGTTTTAAAGTTAATCTATATGACTTCATCAGTGTACTGATTATCATTTATGAACTAAATAGTACTAAGTGTCTTAATAAATTTTTGTAAGTAATTATATAGAGGCATACTTCATTTGTAGATCCTATTTTTATCTTATTAATTTTGTCATCAAGTTTTGTTTTCGCTTTCCGTTTTATATACTTGCTCAAGTCATTCCATGTGTCTTTATTGTATTCAGAAACATCGTTTACAAATTTAAAATTGCTATCAAAATCTTTATTTTCCTTTTTCTTTTGTTTCCTGGGTTGAAACTGTATAGGAAAAATTTATATTTGCGAATAAAACGTCGTAAAATTAATGTATTTTCATTTTTTTTAAACAAACAGCATAATAACCGCATGATTATAAGTATATATATATAGTTATATCTTACATCTTCTTCTACGTCAGAATTTTCAGAGAAATTTGGCACTTCTTCATCATCTTCAATTGTTTTTATTAAATCACAATTATTATCCATTTTCCATAACAAAATTTGAGAAGGACACGTTCAACTTTTAATACTTAACCACGTGGGTACGACTATATATACATATGCACAAACATGTGCAGTATATGCAATCGATCATCTAATATTATTTCAATGTTGCATTTTTATTAATATCCTTTTAATTATAATATGTATAAATTACAATAGAATATTGTTCATTATTTTTCAAGCTATTAATATGTCATTATCTTAATTTAAAATATATGTACCGTATAAATGCTATTTTCATGTATCGCTTAATCTTTTACATTCAACATAAACAATTATAAATATTATTTGAAAACAAATATTTATGTAATATTGTATAAAATATTGTATAAAATATAAATCAATAATACTTTAATAATTTAAAATTTCTAAAGAAACTAATAATAATGTAACACAATTACTATTGGATGGTATTTATATAATATAATGCGCCGGAAACCTGTTTTACGTTACGGCGTCCCTTCTCAATTTCATATTTTGAATATCGTTTAAGTGAGTGATAAACGTGAATGATATTACCATGGGTATTTTGGGTTTAGCAAAATTAATAGCAGATATTTCACCAGGTGCTATTAAAGAACGAGAATTAAAGCATTATTTTGGTATGTGTTTAATCACAATAATTCGGAAGTCTGAACTATTTAAGTTTAATCACAAAAAGTTATTGTAATTTACATTTTCCTATTTTATTTTAGGTCGTAAAGTGGCAGTAGATGCATCTATGTGCTTATATCAATTTCTTATTGCAGTAAGAAGTGAAGGTGCCCAACTTACAACAGTAGACGGTGAAACAACAAGGTATATACTTTGATATATTATAATTGTAAAATGTTCTGTTAATATTTAACGTTTTTTTATATTATAGTCATTTAATGGGTATATTTTATCGAACAATACGTTTAGTAGAACAAGGAATAAAACCTGTGTATGTTTTTGATGGAAAACCACCAAATTTGAAAAGTGGTGAGTTAGCTAAACGAGCTGAAAAAAGAGATGAAGCACAGAAACTTTTACAAGCAGCAGAAGAAGCTGGTAATTATAAATATGTGTTTTTTCTATTTCAAGTTCATTTTGCTTTATTTTCTTGTTTTGGTTCATTTTTTAATGCATTTATATGATTATTATATTTAGGTTTCTGAGTATGATTCTAAGTTTTTTTTATTATATGTTATAGGAAATGCAGAGGATATGGACAAATTTAGCAGAAGATTAGTAAAAGTTACAAAAGTGCATGCAGAAGAAGCTAAACAATTATTGCAATTAATGGGCATTCCATATATTGATGTAGGTGAAAAGATAAACTATTGATTGTATATTCTTCTATGATATATTGTTTTTGTAGGCACCATGTGAAGCTGAAGCACAGTGTGCAGCTTTAGTAAAGGCTGGTAAAGTTTTTGCAACTGCTACAGAAGATATGGATGCACTTACTTTTGGATGTAATATTTTACTCAGACGTTTAACATTCAGCGAAGCTAGAAAAATGCCTGTGCAAGAATTTCACTTTGATAAAGTATTAGAAGGTCTTGAATTAAATCACAAAGAAGTAAATAACATCAATATTTTCATTATTAATTGTTAAACAGCAAGTGCTCATTTTGATTTATTTATTATTAATAATATTTAATTTAGAGTAATAATAAAACTAAATATTACTATTTCATAAGATAAACCAACTGTATAATTGATTATTATGTATGTTATCTATGTTTCTAATTATTTACAGTTTATTGATCTTTGTATAATGTTGGGTTGTGATTATACAAATAGCATTAAAGGAGTTGGACCAAAACGAGCTGTTGATCTAATTAAAACACATAGGTCACTGGAGAAGATTATAGAAAACTTAGATATCAAAAAATTTTCAGTTCCTGAAGATTGGAACTATCAACAAGCTCGACTGTTATTTGAAGAACCAGAAGTAATGGATCCTGAAAATATTGAAGTGAGGAAGTATAATATTTTATACTTAATATGAGATATTTAAAACCAATACACTTAAATGCATGATAAAATAGTACAATAATATGATAATAATAGACTATATACATTTTAAACAAAAAATGGAAATAAATTTGAAATTGCCTAAGTAAAAAATATTCATTATCATATTTATAAACATTTTTATTTTTGTATTAGTTAAAATGGTCAGAACCAGATGAAGATGGTCTAGTTAAATTCCTTTGCGGTGATAAGCAGTTTAACGAGGAAAGAGTAAGAAATGGAGCTAAAAAATTACATAAAGCGCGAAATACGTCCACTCAAGGAAGACTAGATACATTCTTTAAAGTATTACCAAATTCAAATCCAAGTCCTGCAAAGCGTAAAGTAAGTATAAAGAATTTTACGAATTATATTGTGGTTTTTAATTATGTTTATATTATATTTAAAAATAGGCGCAAGAAACAAACGCAACAGCTAAAAAGAGTAAAAGGGGTGCAACGGGAAAATCTCGAGGAAGGCCAAAATAATTGTTCGTGATATTCACAATTCATATATTTGTACAAGTGTTTCGTCTCGATACTTATACAATTGCTTTGTCTCGATATTTATATAAAAGCTTTTATGTTGAATTATTTATATTGTTTGGTGTATAAAATTACTATAAATCATTTAAAATATATTGAAATATTTTTCTATTTATTTGATAAAATAGATTATACATGTTCAAATAACATTTTTCACTATCCAGTATTTATCGGTTAATTTTTTGTATACTTTCGTGTATATATATATGTATATACACATACAGTGTCTTTAATAGTTCAGTCTTAATTTTAGCACCAAATATTCTAATTACATTTTTATGAGATGTATAAAATTTAGTAATATTGGATGGTATTTGGCAGTGATTAGATATTACTGATATTATTTACAGTATGTATTGATAAAAGAGACTGATATAATTATATAACCAAGAACTTTTCTATTTACAAAATTCAATTGTCACTGAAATGTAATTATAGTACTACCTATAGCATTTGGATCTATTACGTGATGCAATGCTTGTTCAATATTATGAGGTCCATACACCCTATCTACAACCATTTGTAATTGATCAGCATCGGCTAAATCACATAATGCTTGTAAATATGTTGCATTAATTTTTGATCCTTCTTTCCATTGATGCATGTTAAATCCAAACATATACTGCAATAAATAGAACTAATTACAGATACAGAATTCGTGATTAAATTACAAAGTACATGATTATTATATATACCTGAATTAATAACTTTATTCGTACACATCCTGCAAATATGATTCCAAATATAAAACCTAATGAGTCAGATGTTAACTGTTCAGGAACTGTAGAGATATAAGAACCATAAGGCACTACATGTTGTTTTAATATACGTTCATCAATTGATTGACCTCCTGTATAAAATATAGCATCAAATCTAGAAAAATATTAGTCATTTGATATTAATATAAAGACTGAATGAACTTAATATATTTTCTATTAAGTGACTTTTATACTATACATACTTGTCATGTAATTGTAACTCTTTTACAATGTCTGAATCATTTAATGGTATAACATCATCTGCTCCTAAAGCTTTTGATACGGGAATTGCATTTAGTTCACACATTGTAACTACATGTCCACCCCACAGCTTAACTAGTTGAGTTAAAATACAACCAACAGGAGTATTTCCACCATATATTAGTACTCTATGGAAAATTAAATTACAAAATATAATTTTAACATACAAAGACAATGTGTATCTACCTAAAGGTATTTATACCGTTTTCCTTTCGCATTGCCTTCTTGAATTGCAGACCTATTAACTAGGGCATCCCAGGCTAAGCATCCACTATAGGGAAGGCTTGCAGATGCTTCGAAAGTAAAAAGTTTTGGTCGTTTAACTACTTGAGTTTCTGGGACAACAATGTATTCTGCCATTGTACCAGGAGCCCAAGAAGGTACAGCTAAAAATACTTCATCTCCAATATCAAAATTAATAACACTTTGTCCTATACCTACCACTACTCCAGTACAATCTCTGCCTAATGTTACTGGGAGTTTCTTGTGCCTCTGAGAATAAATAAATTAAATTTGTTAACAATTATATAGGCCACTAATATTAATAATAGAGTAAAATGATTTTTTAAATTTCTTACTCCAGAATTAAGAAGTCTTCTGTAATTTTTGGAGTAACCATAACAAATTTTTGTATCAACAACATTAAGAGAAGCTGCTTTAACTTGTATCAATAATTCATTAGATTTTTGAATTATAGGCATTATATTTAATACTATTTGTATCTTTCAATTTAATGCAATACCTCAATACCAATATACTGCTGACATATGACAGCTTTCATATGATGCATATGATGAGATATATGTCCCCAATTAATCCCAGCATAATAACCAATTAAAGTACCCATAACTAAACCTGCTAGACAAAATACAAGTTCTCTTCTTGACACTAAAGAAAAATAATTATGTTCTATTAGTACTAGTATTACAATATTATTATAATCTTAAATAATGATATTTTTTAAATTATTTTGGTACCTTCCTTGTTATATAAAGTTTCTATTTGTCTGTAAAATCCTGTGATATTAAAGTGTGCATTATAATACTGAAATTGCAACTGTTTGCAAGCTCTTTCAATCCAAGCAAGTATATTTTGTATAATGTCCTTTGTGTTCTGCATGTACTGATCATTGTGTAATTTGTATAACAATTGACGTGCCTGTGTCAGCCATGCTATGACCAATTGCTGTCCTTGTTGTGCAACAAATGAAGTTTGAATCTTTCCAACAAAATTGAATATATAATATTATATATTTTATAATTATATATATATTATATAATTTTATTTTTCTC